TTCAACTCTATTACTCAAGATGAAATCCTTGCTGGTTTATGAAAAAGGGATATTGAAATTGGTATCTAACATAGTAATCTATTAAAGGAAATCACTATTCCCTTGGCAGAGAGAAATAACCTAAATGAGTCTGCTGGCCTTAATAGGAACGACAGACAACTGGTTTGGAGAACTGCTCAAACGTTCAAGGTTGATCATTGCCCGTGTCACACTGGTTGATCAAACATTGGTTGAAAATATAACGATTCTCCATTCATTATTTCTATGTATGCTTCATGCAAACAATAATTATAATCACAAATCTTGCTGTTGTGAGTGAGTGAGTGAGTGTGAGTGAGTGAGTGAGTGAGTGAGTGAGTTGCTATGGTGTTACATACTTCCATTACACCTGAACATGCCTGGTTTACAGAATACTGAAGAAAAGCAAATCAAACTGAAAAATATCTCACTGATAAATATTGAGTAATGTGGGATCCATTTGGCACAGCATATATATGAGTGAGTGAGTGAAAGCCCTGGGGGAACAATATTCCACCCAGCGTGTCAGCTTCACCAGGGAGGAAAGCCCAAGCGATGCAGGTCTACTCTGGGGAACCCATGAGCACTGATATGGCGCTGAAAAACCTAGAAACACAATCAGGGCGGAACCAGAATTCCAGAATCATAAGTTTCTGCTTGGACCTGCAACCGCCAGACAACATATGCCCACTTGGAGTTCACATGAGAATCCACTGTACACTCTACATGGAAACACTTCACTAGCATCAAGTCCTGTCTGATATCAGAATGTTGATGCTTTACACAGGTTATACTCTATTTCAAAGTCAGAATATCAGATTCCCCAATGAATCTGGTAGCTTAACTGAAAAATAATCAATAACTGATTCATCAGTTGAAATTAGCTACAAACCATTTATCAATGAAAAATTATTAGCATGTGAATAGCATTATAACCACATCTGTTAAGTAGCCACAATTTAACTGAGGTCACTCCTTAACACAAGGATAACACGAAGAATCAGGTCAGTTCGCGATGACAAACAACAAACAAACAAATGAAACACAAGACCATCCAGGCAAATCGACATGTTCAGGCCTAACGAAATATTCTTAGATTTCTACTCTCACAGAGTTTCAGTAATGTCGGTTGTTTTTTCAGGTAAACACAGGGGTGGAAATAACTTTAAAATTGACAGTGTACTCCGGTACAGTGGCACATGTAAAGTCACTTGCCCTGATAATTTGTCCACTATACCGACCATTTTCTTGCTGATTTTTAAATAAACAACATAATTAACATTGGAAAGTCAACTGGACACCGGTATAGTGTGATATACAAATTTGCTTGCCCGACAGAAAAAAACACTGGACTCGGACGTCGGGCAATGGGTTATTTCCACCCCTGAAACATTATTATGTACAATTTAGAAAACATACATCGGTCAGTCGTGTGTAGAACTAGTTCTAGTGACTAATATCATGAGCAATAATCCATGCCCTCGGGCTATTAGTCATATCAGCAAACCTGACCAACCGATAACAGACTACAACAAGCATAGGTTGCTGGGGACGAATTCTAACCGGGGCTACAATTATCTGTTCAAGCATGTGAAGTACTGGGAAATATTGATCAACTTAGATCATCAAATATATTTTTAGTTTTTCAATGAGTGCATAAGTGAATGCTGTTTCATGCCAGGGTCAACAGTATTTCAATTGTGTCAAAGTGGTCTGTAAATAATGAAGATTGTGCTATATAAACAGGGGATGATTTACATGAGAAGCGTCTACAAGCCTGGGGAATACTGGCTGACAACAAAGCATGTGGCACTTTAAGACTAACCAACAAGAAACGACAAACTATCTGCCCTGAGGGTATGACTGGTACCAATCCTAAGACTTCGGAGAGGCAATTACATCACAATGGACAGGCAATGCGTAATTCCATGTTTTGAGTAGGTTATTCAAAATATTACTAATTGACATTTTTAAAAAGAGAATGAAGAAAAATATTTGATGTGTCAACCCTATTGATACATTTTACTGAACACAGCCTATTGTTCAAATGATGTCATGAAATCACTTTATGACATCACTAACAATGAATGACATCATATCTTCTCAACAATGAGACACTGTGATGTCATATGTCTTCAACTGACCAATCAGCACTGAAAATCACTAGAACTAGAAAAGTGTTTCACATCATCAATTTATCCTTACAGGCAAAGGTTGTAAATGTAACCACCAGATTGAAAGTCAGTTCGTACAAAAATGCACAGGTTCCTGGGATCAATTCTGTTCCCAACTACCAAAGGTCTGTCTTTGATATAAGACCCATGAAGATCTGGGTTAGAATGTGGTCTTCAGTAACCCAAGCTAGTCATTAGTGGGGACTAACAGGATCGGTTGGTCAGGCCAGTTGACTTGCTTGACACATGTCATCGTATCCCAATAGCGGAAAACGATGCTCATGCTGTTGATCACTGGACTGTCTGGTCCATGCTGATTATTTACAGACTGCTGCCATACAGCTGGAACATTGCTGAGTGCAGCGTTAAACAACAATCAATAAGTCTTTGAAATAATACTGTTTATCATAGCCGTCAAATATGAACAGCTTTCAAGTATGAACTGATATGGCCCTTAAAACAATTCTCTTTGTAAATAAAGACACAGTTCAGATACAAAAACAACTATGGTGCCATAGATATAGAGAGGCTCAGCTATACCAGTTCGATATAAGAAGAGAGCATACGAAGTGGAAAACATGTTAAATTAGCTGTTCACTTCTAATAAAATTAAACAAATCTCATTAACATTGGTGATAAGCACACACAAAATAAATGATTTCTTGTCCATTTCTCAGTCCTGTAAAATCTCATTAAACATTTTTTATACCTTCAGAGGCAAGCTTTTTTAAACATTTTAAGTGAGTGATGGTAATATCAAGACTGGGGAAACAACAGAATTGGGCTTCACACATTGTACCCATGTGGAGAATTGAACCCGGGTCTTTGCCATGACAAACAAACACTTTAACCACTACGCTACCCCACTGCCCCTCAAACAGTTTTAAGATCAGTATTAGGTGGATAGAGATGTAAGACAAAAGACTGGTCTTATGTCAAGCATATAGATTATCACAACAAAGGTATTACATGTTTGTGGTAAATGTAAAATAGCCACTTGTTTAATGTTCTAAATGCAAAAAGCTTTAAGAACGTCAATAAATTGCAGCATTCTGAAGCTAATGCATAAAAATTGAAAATCACAAGTATAGCCTGAAAAAAGTACCTTTTATGCCATAATTAAATGACTGTCCACCTGATTTATCTACTAAATAAAATAGAATATATACCATTTTCAATATATTACCCACTTTCAATTTCGAAACTTGAGCATTAGTATAGTAGCACTATATATCCTTTCAGGTCCAGCATATTCACACAATTTTTCTGTTCTTGTGATAAAATGTTCCTCAATATATTTTTACCACTCTGTTACCAAAATGCCAATTAAGAAACTTATATAATAAAAAAGAAGAAGAAGATTTTGTGGAAATAAAACAGGTATCATGTAATCATTTGAATCAAAAAGGGACGTATACAATTAGATCCTGATTTCACATCTCATTAACATAATTTATACTTTTATAAAAAAAATCGAACTCTGGTATGTTCTCTGATTTAGGTATGTTTCCATCAAGTTTCCCCAAAAAAACACTTACGGTTGAATATTGCTAACTAACATAAGGTCAATATCAAAATTAAAATTTAAACAAACGATTTCATATTAAAAATATAAGATTGCTATGAATTTGAGTAATTCCTTTCGTTAACAACAGATACATGCATTAGATACATACTAGGTCATCACATTCCTGGATGGAACATATTTTGAAATTGACAATTTTGTATGTAAAGTGAAACTCTGTCATTCCACAAAACTCCACATTCCAGACAATAACTGTTTGGAAAATCAATGCACACAGACAAGAGCAACATCAGTGATAACCAACAACTTTCTACCTCAGTATTCATTATTAATATACATATATAATTTTAGTATAAATAGTACTGTCCGGATTAGCGAGGTTTGAATGCATCGCTGTCATTTCAGGTTGAATTTCTGAATTTTGACAAAACCCAAAAATCACAAGCTAAAATAGATCCTTCCTACACTTATCAAGTTTACATTCCATTTCAAATTCAGTTATGGAAAATGATAAATGCACAACAAACATGCTAACCAAACTTATTAGCTATTGAAATTTCTGCATTACTTAGGAACAGAAAACCTTTTAGCTCATCATATACTTTGTTGCTAAACTATAGTTTCTAAAGAATAAGAAATGTTCTAAAAGTGTTGTTTAATTAGGAAATGGTGCACTATCCATACTTCAGTTTCGGCAGGTTCTAACATAAATGTCACTTAGTTCTCTGTCCAGAATGAATGTCAGTCATCCCCTGTTATGAGTCACAGAGTAATCTTCACACAGTTCACTCCTGCCAATATATGGGTTGGGCCACTGCATAGAGAACAGTTCATTTTTCTCCGCAGTTGCTGAAATACGTTTAAAATGGAGGCAGTTGTTTCAAAAAGTTGCCAACCTGCTGGAAAATTACTTAAAAAATTAAATGTTATTTTAGGCGTTTAATAATTTGTATTTTCTCCACCACTACGGCCCAATTTACGAGACTGCGTAACTTCCACTTTATTCCCCCATATAATATCCCACTTCTGTGCTTCAGGTGCCGAAACGAAAAAATGACAGCATATGGATATTTTTCTCACTGGAATATATAAATGAGTTGGACATACACATGCTGTAACGAATAGATTTGGAAGCCGTGGCACGGAACCTATTTTCTAAGGTAGGGACGGACTGTCGTGGAGGTGCCGTCTGCAAGTCTCATACAACACTCAGCAAACTAGACGCAAAACGATTCACACATAAAACAAGTCACACACTCTATGACATTATGGTGACAACTGACCTGAACATGAGATTCCTCTTCAAAAGCTGTCCGTTGATATAAACGTCATCTGTAAACAACAAAAGGAGTCAGCTGTCATTGGGAAACGTTGGGGGAACTACAAAATAAGCCAGGAAAACCGCAGCGTTGAATCGTTCACTTCGGATGCACTGTCCAGCAAAGTGAAAGTTTGAATTGACAAACTTTCTGCAATAACAATAAATTCAAACCATCTTGCAACCGCGAAGCATTATATAAAACCGTATTCTTCCACTTCGCGTGTACTTTTTAGTGTTTCAAATTTCGCCCCCCACCCACGCACCTGCAGCCATTTTGGATTATAGGCAGACATTGGCAGACTAGGTCATGCAGCCGCAGTTTCGCACATATGATATGGCGTAGTAAAATTTACATCTGTAACCAATCTGGTCATATTTACAGCAGTTGGGTAGCTTTATTATAATTATGCATAAAATATTGACCTAAGGTTTCTGTTTGGCTTCCAGTAATTCATAATTCAATCAATAAACCGTAGCTAGGCAATCTATTTGCGTAAGAGGTGACGTCACGAAGGCATTTTTCCCTGGGCTGCCCAGTTCAAGTCTACAGACTTTTTTCAAGAGCATCATGACTGGAATAGCTTCCCTGGTACTTTCGTTGTGTGCCATATCTCACGCACAGTGCGGGCCTCTTTTCACCTGAGTGTCTACGCGTGGCGTATTGAGCGGCACCCGTAAATCTCGTGCAGTGAGGTGCGGGGGAGGGTGACCCGTCTGGTTCAGGTCACGAATCTAGGTCAGGTCACGAGTTCTCGCGCTCGTGCTGGCAAATAATCAAGACTAATGCCCCCAGTGTGAATAGAACAACTGAGTACACGTGCGCTCAGTTGAAATCTTTGTTTATATACTGAAACGAATATGAAGGGAGGCACAATATTTACCTAGGCGGTGTTTGGTGGCATATCCACTTTGTATTTTAGATACTTTTTTTAAAAGTAGGTCAATAAAGCAAAGAGATTTAACGCAACTTTTAAAGGTTTTAGAGGAGTATGTTTTTATAATCAGAAAATCGGCAATTGTTTTCTGAAGGTCATGGAAGGCTAAGTACATGTTTGCCAGATTTTTCAAATACTTTTGAACCTGTTGTGTATTGAAATTAGAAAATATAACGCGTGCTTATGCCATTCAAAAACTTTACATTGACCCATTAACAAGCCAAGGTCGGGGGTGTACACGAACATTGAGCTGGTAAAATCTCGCGCACCCCCCGGTGTTTTGTCATGTAAATATGGTTAAAGCCACATTTAAGAAAAACAGTGTTGAATATGGTGTGGCTTAACCGGCAATGGACATGGCTGAGTGATCGTGTGAATGTGGCTCTCCCGGCATTAGCTAATCTATGTTACCGTAAATAATGTGAAATATTCAGTATGTAAAATCAAGAAATCCAGTTGAATTGTTCTAGGAGAAACGTCAAGATCACGCAAACTAGCTGCCTCACGTAGACCTGTATACTCAAACCCCTTTTAAGAATTATGTATGATTATACAACCAATTGTTTCTTTGAAGCATTTTAACTTATGGGGGGGTCAATTCAATGTTTTATCCTTTTCTGATAACTGTTTGAGCTATGGTTGCCTCCGTTATTATGTTAACATTCATGCTAAAAACTCAACAACAAAATAAATAAATAAATAATTTAGAAGAATGACCATTTATTGCACATATATACTTATCAACAGCGCCTAACGCCTAACTCTTTCGATTTCATAGCTTCCATTGCATGAAGACATAAAAAAGATACAAATAAAGTTTTTTAAGAGCATAAGCTGAAATTGCCTTTTTCCATAGAATGACCCATTAGCATGTATCATTTTATATCAGAACATATGTTATCATATGTTAACTAAAAACGTCAGCTTGATTAAAGAAGCCGCCCATCATGTGTTAACTAAACAAACAAAGGACAAGTCACTAAAACAATTTTAAATTAACCTTTCCCACCTGCCGAGCGCCCGAGAAACCATGAAGTATATTTACGGTGTTCGCCCGGGAAAGCCACATTTGAAAATACCAATTGCCGCTAAAGCCACATTTCAAGTACAAACCTCGGTGCCGCAAATCGCCGCGAAAACCACATTGAGTAAGGGAATCAATACCGTTTTTTCAAATAAGCGTCACCCATTGATCACCTTTGCTCGCCGTGCTCAAGGCACAGGTTCGATTCCGCACATGGGTGTTGTCCATAAAGCTGGTGAGTGAGTATGGTTTTACGCCGCTTTTAGCAATATTCCAGCAATATCACGACGGGGCACATCAGAAATGGGCTTCACACATTGTACCCATGTGGAGAATCGAACCCGGGTCTTCGGCGTGACGAGCGGACGATTTAACCACTAGGCTACCCCACCGCCCCCATAAATCTGGTGTTCCCTGGCGTAATATTGCTGTAATAATTCTAAATGCAACATAAAACGATACTCACTCATTCCACGGCATTTCACAAAATTATTATTATTAATATAATGTTTATAACATAGACACTGTAACAGTTTAATAAATATCATTCAATAACATGTGCCCGAGGGAACGTTCTAAACAAAATGTCGACAGAGTTAATTTACATGAATGAAATTGCCGGTACAGGGACCAACAAGAGTGATCTTTTACAAATCCAATTAAATTGATTCTTTGAAATGCATATTTTTAATAAAATATATATGATTTCGAATTCGAGGTTGTTTATATTTTTGTTTTGATATCTTGATATTTGTGTCGATTAAATCTGTAAATGAAAGTAAGTACACTTAAAATATTTGTTAGACGACACTTTTCAGGTTAGGTTCAGACATGCGCAATCATGGCCGCAGGGAACATGAGAATTACATCAACATCAGAACGATAATTTTTTGTAACAAAATATTATGAAAACATATAAACTGGAGTGTAGGAAAGCAAAAGCGGACGTGAAAAAATAAGACACACTTGAACGTTGTTACAATTATGCAATTACGAGTGAGTGAGTGAGTATGGTTTTAGGCCGCTTTAGAATGAACCGAATTTTATTTTTATTCTGTTCTGCTTTAGAATGGGCGTCATACATTGTACCCACGTGGGGAATCGAACCGGATCTTCGGCGTGACGAGCGAACGCTTACACAACACTTACTAAAATTGTTATGGCGTTATCAATAGTGGTGATATGAAGGAGATAAAATATAATGACAATATATTTATTATTTCTTGACTTTCTCGTGTTACTTTGAATTGTCTTGGCCATTTTTGTATTTGATTATGTCAGTAATCAAAAGCATGCAAATGCAAGAAAGCAACAAGGCTAGCGCTGTGATACACTTTTGATACTTGGGTATAGGGGCACATAAAGTTGCAATTCTCAGAGGCAGGAAGGTGAGTTCGAGATAACCGAGAATTCGACACATCCAGATACATACGGAAGGAACTTTGAGGGACAGGAAGGTTAGTTCGAGACATCCGGAATTCGACATATCCAGTTCCGTGCAATGAGGGTCGACTGATTTGAACGACAACTACGTTTAAATCTTTACATTTCCAACCCCAAAAGGACCCTTATCCTTCTTCGTCCTTTTGAGGCAGTGGGGGTAGCCCAGTGGTTAAAGCGCTGAAGACCTGGGTTCGATTCTCCACATGGGTACATTGTGTGGATCCCATTTCTGGTGTCCCCCGCCGTGATGTTGATGGAATATTGCTGAAAGCGGCGTAAAACCATACTCACTCTTCGTTCTTTCAGTGCCAACATACTGTATTTCTACCCACCCATGGATAAGTATGATACGAAAGTCAAACTGGTTCATGTTGTACTTAAAGACGTCACAAGCCATTAAAACTAAAATGCGTTACGGCTAACTTTCAGGTTGTCGTCATATACTTCGAACCACCCGTAAAATCCTGAGGCGTTTTTAATTAATTTAATAAACATAGCCGACGCGTTATCCTGGCGTGAAAGTTTAGATCTAGTGTGACATCGCGAGTGATGAGAGTGATTGTAATTCGTTTATTAAAATATGAATTCACAATTAATAGGTAAAGTTATCGTTCCGCACCACCACCCCTAAAAACGACCCCTGGATACGTTTTTCTCTATGTTTGTACCAGTGAGCGAGTGAGTTTAGTTTTACACCGCTGTTAGCAATATTCCAGAATTATTACGTCGAGGGCACCACAAATGGGTTCACCCATTGTACCCATATGGGGAATCGAACCCGGGCCTCCGGGCGAACACGTCAACCACTAGGCTACCCAACCGCCGCTCTTTTGTACCAGTAGCACACCAGTCTTTCCTTCATACTCATTTCTACACGAGTATGTAGTAATGGTTGAGATGTCACACACCTGTCCTATCCCTGTAATGGGAGATAGCTGGTAAGTGTTGAATACACTTCGGTAAAAGATGTTCAGTTCATACTGTAAATACATTAATTATCCTTGCGTGATGTGGTGGCATGTTGAGACGTGACGTTTTTCTCTCTATTCCCAAAAGTGGTTTGGTTGTGGAGTCACGCGTCATGGCCGTAACTTACGTCCATCCGAGAATAATCGCATGTTGTTACTATGTGGAAACGTCTTGGACAGGGTCTTGGACACTGTAGACTGCCTCTTGTTGCCACGGTCTTGGACATCGTAGACTGCCTCTTGTTGCCAGGGTCTTGGACACCGTAGACTGCCTCTTGTTGCCACGGTCTTGGACATCGTAGACTGCCTCTTGTTGCCAGGGTCTTGGACATCGTAGACTGCCTCTTGTTACACTATCGTAGACTGCCTCTTGTTGCCAGGGTCTTGTTACACATCGTAGACTGCCTCTTGTTGCCAGGGTCTTGGACATCGTAGACTGCCTCTTGTTGCCAGGGTCTTGGACACTGTAGACTGCCTCTTGTTGCCAGGGTCTTGTTGCCAGGGTCTTGGTAGACTGCCTCTTGTTGCCAGGGTCTTGGACACCGTAGACTGCCTCTTGTTGCCAGGGTCTTGGACACTTCGTAGACTGCCTCTTGTTACACTATCGTAGACTGCCTCTTGTTGCCAGGGTCTTGGACATCGTAGACTGCCTCTTGTTGTTACACTATCGTAGACTGCCTCTTGTTGCCAGTGGTCTTGGACATCGTAGACTGCCTCTTGTTGCCAGGGTCTTGGACATCGTAGACTTTGCTCTTGTTGCCAGGGTCTTAGACAGCCTGCCTCTGTTGCCAGGGTCTTGCATCGTAGACTGCCTCTTGGACATCGTAGACTGCCTCTTGTTGCCAGGGTCTTGGACATCGTAGACTGCCTCTTGTTACCACGGTCTTGGACATCGTAGACTGCCTCTTGTTGCCAGGGTCTTGGACATCGTAG